CCTACGTAAGACCCTCCCCCCTCCTCTCCTTTTCCCTCTCCACCCTCCCCCACCCTCATTGCTTACCGAAACGTTGCAGATGTGTTCGCGATATCAGGTTCGGTAAGTTCGAGGTCTACTGTCGCCTCATAAAGTTAGAGCTATCACAGTTTAAGTACTAATCCTTCCAAACGAAAGGCTAATTCCCAAGTCAAAGTCTGAGTCCTTAAATATAATTCAATATGTTCTAACTACGTAAATATTGTTTCTGTATTTCCCACTTTAAATGTCATTGAATTAATACGTGTTAATATCTAAATGTTTTTTTTACCTATCTGTCATCAATATATATTATTATGTGTGTTAATAATGACCAATGTTTTAAAAAGCCACGGTGTCTACCATTGTAACAGTTAAAACATTAAGTTTTATAATAAACATTATAAAGGCTTCATCTAAATTTGTATTCTGTACGTGCTTTCGCAGTAGGTCACATTCCCTTTGTTAGAACATTATTTGACATTGTTCAACCGTAAAATGACTATACAATTATATTTAACAAATTCTAGCCTTTGTGAAACGCTGTAGTTGGTGGATATGAGGTTAAGGAGACATTGATTATCTGCTACGTAGGGTTGGCACTAGAATGTAATTGCCTGTAATTGTACACATTGTGTACACACGTTTACACATTGTGTACGGTAAAAACGTTTGAACTTGCAGTCGGGTGTCATCCGGTGCGGCACTTCGTGGTATCACCCCCCCCCCTCCAAAAAAAAAATTCATAAGGATATATATATATATATATATATATATATATATATATATATATATAGGCTACATGACATTACCCCTCCTGGATATTCCCCCCCCCCGGACATTTACCCCCCCCCGTATTTACCCCCCCCCCCCCCGGAGCAATTACCCCCCTGTCAATTACCCCCCTAACCCTAACCCTAACCCTAACGCTAACCCTAACCCTAACCCTAACCCTAACTCTAGCCCTAACCCTAACCCTAATCCTAATCCTAATCCTAATCCTAATCCTAATCCTAACCCTAACCCTAACCCCTAACCCTAACCCTAACCCTAACCCTAACCCTAACCCTAACCCTAACCCTAACCCTAACCCTAACCCTAACCCTAACCCTAACCCTAGCCCTAGCCCTAGCCCTAGCCCTAGCCCTAGCCCTAGCCCTAGCCCTAGCCCTAGCCCTAGCCCTAGCCCTAGCCCTAGCCCTAGCCCTAAGCCTAACCCTAACACTAACCCTAGCCCTAAACCTAGCCCTAACCCTAACCCTAACTCTAACCCTGTCCGGGGGGGGGGGGGGTAATGTCCAACTGGGCGGGGGGGGGGGGGGGGGTAATTGACAGGGGGGTAATTGACACGGGGGTTAATTACTCTGGGGGGTAATGTCGGGGGGGGAAATATCCGGGGGGTAATTGACAGGGGGGAAATGCCCTGTTCCCATATATATATATATATATTTATATATATATATATATATATATATATATATATATATATATATATATATATATATATATATATATATATGTGTGTGTGTGTGTGTGTGTCTGTGTGTATTTGTGTGTGTGTCTGTGTGTCTGTGGTGTGCCTGTGTGTGTGTCTCTGTGTGTGTGTCTGTGTGTGTGTGTCTGTGTGTGTGTCTGTGTGTGTGTCTGTGTGTGTGTCTGTGTGTGTGTGTCTGTGTGTGTGTCTGTGTGTGTGTCTGTGTCTGTGTGTGTGTGTCTGTGTCTGTGTGTGTGTGGGGGGGGCCTTTAATTTAAATATATGCCACATACGCGTACATGTATGTGAATAAGCTTTAATCGCCGCAGACTGTGTACTTAATAGTAACGATGTTTATCTAAAGTTAATATGGTTGGATGTTCCATTGTTTTCTGTATAGTTTGCACGTTTACGACATGGTGCCACCCCACTTTCTTGTTATAATTGTCGGTTTGTCCTTAAAAGACTATTTAACTTTAATTAATCATTAAAAAGGCATTTGCCTTCTGTACATTTTGCTATTTTTTTGCAATAGTGTCCACCCTCTAAATGGTGTCACCCAGTGCTGTCCGCCCCCCACCCCCCCCCCCCCCCCCCCCCCCCCGCCCCGCCCTCGCTTCGCCTCTGTTTACTTGGTCTAGAGGTTAACATTACAAGCAAGGAAATAGTTTCTTGTCTTGTTATTGTCGAAATTACAAATTGCAAACTGCTGCAGTCTCAATAAGAAAAATGAAAGCAGTTTTTTTTAAATAAGACACAACCAGTGGCGTAGGCAGGGGGGTGGGGTTAGGGGGGTCATAACCCCCCCATAGCCCCCTCGGTATATATATAAAAAGTATGAGGGGGGGGGGGGGTGCAAATCGAAAGTTTGAGGGGGGGGGGGGGGGGCAAATTGAAAGTTTGAGGGGTGGGGGTGTAAATCGAAAGTATGTCCCCGGGTAAAAATTGGACCCCCCCCCCCCTTGAGACGATCCTGGCTACGCCACTGGACACAACACTTAGAATGGTTTCATTATTGTGATAATTATAAGGATAGCTTAAATGAAATTATGGGAATGCGTGCTCGGATGTTAAACCGTACCACTGCTAACCCAAAAGTCTCGAGTTCAGATCCTTGGCTTCAGTCCCAGACTCTAACCAGTTCTGGTTAGCAGACTCGCGGATGTTAAGGCGGCTGGGCATAGTTGCCGCGACACTCTCCTTTCATATCCAGAGGTCTAAGAAATTTATGAACTCTACTTCATCTGCTCCGGGGACCACCAGGTTTTAAATGGTTACCTTGACTACAATTATTAACTTGCATCTTGAGCATTAAAAAATCTATACCTCAAAGTAACAGAACATTCGTTAGCAAAAAAAATCAAATATAAATACTGCTTAATTGTTAAGATTATAATATCATTTTTCACAACGTTTGTATCTATTGGTGTTTTGATTTTATATGTAGAATATATAAAACGAGACGGCCCGCGGCATAACATACGCCGCTATTTAGTTGTTGTTTTTTCTACTTTTCAGTAATTCATAATTTGTGAATTCGACAGTACCAACGCTGACACTGAAGATATTTCTTTAAAACACTATAAGTAGCTCGTTAAGGACCATAACCCCCCCCCCCCCCCCAACGTTTAAAATCATTTCAAACTAAATTATCTGCCCCTAATAGCCGTCACTAAACCCGACTCCACGAAGGTAAACATAGCGTGAACCACAGCTCACTAAGACCATGTAGGAGTGGGGATGGTAGGGAGCGCGTTTACAGCTTGTTTTCTAGCGTCTCCCAGAAGAGAATTATATATATAGATAGATTTAAATTGAGTCACAAAACACAGCTTCGATTCAATTTTTCCGGTCTGGTAGCTTGGGTTACCTTCCCGTGTCTGGGGCATTGTGGGCCTCGGGTATTCTCGTGGATAGGGAACACACACGAACACCTGTCAAGAGGTATTCTAGTATCTAGATTGATGTTCACCTTAGGGATTATTTGCAGGGCGGGGGAGATTATTACTACTCGATATTTTATAAAGGGAGATTATTCCCTGAATTTTTTTTTTAGAATTCAAAGAACGCAAAATGAAATTGCTTATCTCAATGTGTTATGAACTTCATAATTTAGATTGTAAAGTCATTCTAAAAGTGCTGATACATGTTATGTACACGATAATATTTCATGAAAAACCGAAATTACGCCTACTTGGGTAGTTAAAAAAATTGAAATATATCAAAGTTGTGCCTATGTATATATGTCTCAAGGGAATGGATATTTATAAAAATTTATCTTTTCACATTTTCCTCCACTCTTTGTTGTTTAGTTATGGTAGCTTGTTCAAATTGGCTTTGCTGTCAATTTTCAGTTTAGGTTTATTACGTAATTAAGCAAGTTCAACAGCTTAATCCCTAAATTTTTGGCCGTAGTGAAACTTAATTAAAACAGAGAAAAGAAAGTGAGTGGGTATTAAGTAAAATGCTAAAAAAATTATTGTAGCCGTTAATATATTAAACAGCTACAGAAGTAATTTAAAAATTTAAAGTAATTTAAAAAAAAACTTCAGTGTAGTATTGAATATAGATTTTCACTCAATTAAAACTTAAGTCGTATTTTTACATAGGTTTTAATATTATTATCAAATAATTTAATAGGTATATCATTATATAATTGTATGTTGTAGGGTTTAGTAGTTCAACCTACACTACTTTGATATAGCAAATAAGTTTAGTGTAATGACAGCTTTTGAAAGTATCAAAGAATGTGTAAGAAAGATGTTTTGGGGCGGTTTGTTGTAAAGAGAATATAATGGTGTAGGAGTGCGGTAGAGTGGGGGTATATATATATATATATATATATATATATATATATATATATATATATATATATATACATATATAAATATATATACATATATATATGCTTTTTGTGATATTAATTAAATGTTAATTTAATATATATTTCAGTTTAAACATAAGCGTATCAAATAAATAATATACATATTTGTAGGCCAATTATTTAAATTTAACATTTAATTAATATCACAAAAAGCACATCCTTTTAATGGCAATGTAATCATTAATTTTATTTTTTTATAATATACATACAGATTTATGTAAAAACAAGTAGCACTTTATTTTTTCACTCAATTTTCTTATCACATAGGCAGAGGCGTAGCAAGGGGGGGGGGGGGGGTTGGGTGTCATATGTCCCCGGGCGTCGACCTTAGAGGGGGCGCCAAAATGGGTTGGAAAACCGAATTGAAAGTTCGAGGGGGGGTTGCAAATCGAAAGTTTGTCCCTGGGCGCCAGGAAGGGTCGCTACGCCTCTGCTAATAGGTCACATTATCAAGAATTGCATTGCTTTCTCTTCAAGAGGCTCAACCTTTTCAAAAAATGACAAAACTGTTTTTAAAAATTTGTAACGGAAATCACAACATTATTAAATAAACAGTTGTGTTTGAAAATTCAATAATTTACAGCATTGCACTGACAATTCCAATATCTGCACACGTAAGTATAATGTTATAGCACACACTTGGTATGGATTTCTAAGAAATAAATTGCCGTCTGTAAACAAAAATAAGTATTGTTTTAAGATCCTAGCTTCGTCTGAAATACCCTGTAGAGTTACATCTGAACGCCAACAACGTATTGATGAGATATTTTGGAACGTTATCTGTTGGGTGGAATCCTGAGTTTTCCAAAGCTATTGTCATATCCCAGCCGTCTAGAAAAACTACTCTCTTCATAAGTTCTTTAAAAACGTTTAATATTATTTTTAAATAAAATTCTCCTAAACTGTCTCCACTGACTGTATGGTTGTAATCCCATTCAAGGGAAGCAACGTGTGGACCACGAAAAGCTATTGTTGCATCAGGGTTTCTGTCCAAAAGTCGCTTGCAGGCTTCAGTTACAGATCGAAGACGGAGCTCGGCTAGACTTAAATGTGATGTCAAAGCGTGAAGAAAGTAGTGGAACACCACAATGATTTTGCCATTTGAAGGCATAGCGTCTATATGTTGGGCTACACTGTCGTACGGAAGCGTGTTCGTCCATTCAGAACCGAGATAAAGCGGGTATTCGTGTGGGGTGAAGGTCAATGTTATGTTGTTTCCTGAGTTTTTGCACACCTCCCTGTACGGCCATGCACCACTCTGTGTGGTGCTACACTGTATCCAGCCTCTAAGCTGTCCGTAGAGACGAACGCCATTGGAATCCCCGAACACCCAAATACTAGTATCACGTAGACAGTCTAGTGCCAGACTTGGGGTTAGGTAGGAATGGTCACAGACCAGAGATGTCCAGACCGAGTTAGGTGACCAGTAGCCTTTTGGTTTGGTCATATCCCACGTTGCTGCTGGACTTGTTTTATAACAGGGAGGGCGAGGAGGGATTGATCCTGAAAATGGTGAACAATATTTTACTACATTCTGCCACTCAATGACATTCAATAAAACTATATAATATTTTATAGATGTTTTATTAAAATAGTTCCAAATGTGTAAGTGAGAAAATAATGCATTAATACATATTATTTTATAAAACTATTACAACACATATTTAGTAAATTAAAACAGTTCAAATAGTGTATTTGAGAAAATATCTCAAATACATCTTATCACGTTACTAAACAAGAATACGAATTGTATTTACCCATCAAAATCCCAAAATAAATTATCAGTGTTGCGATATAACTTACAGCAAATGTCTACTGTGTCATCTTCAATCGTGTTAATGTTGAAACACGAGGTCAGCCGATACAAAGATTTATTGCGTGATTTACTTATATGTATTTACTTATTTATTATACTTATTTTACTTATTTATTTATTAATTTACATTTATTTAGTTATAGCTTAGGGCCCCTTCTCTTTGTTAGAGGCCCTCATAGAAATGTCTGAGTGGGTATTATTGTCATATAAACGTAATGCAGCATTATTATTCCCTTTAAAAATTCCGTGTCAACCCATGTAAGAGAGAAAAAAATCATACAATTGCTGACTTATAGTTCGTACTTTGATGGGCAAAGCAAATCCTTAAAAGCAAAGCAAGCTTAACTCGGAGTCAACGAGCCAAATCATGGGACTTAATATTTCTTAGAGGAAAGTCTTAGCTGGATTAGAATGTAGGCCGTAGAACAGGAAGCACACCTTAAAGAAATCGTGGTTCGATAATTGTTTGACGAACAATAGAAAAGACACAACCTAACAGCCATACTGGAAAAACGTTTGTGAAGAAGTTGTGCGGGGAAGAGAGGATGTACAGTGACTAAAGATCAAGTATGCTCCCTAAGTATCATGTCTATAGCAAAGGACGGACGACGCAGCTTTTCATTTTATCTTTGACTTTGCTTTGGCGAAAGCAAGAGAGAACATAATATATTTGTAAGAGAATAAATATAAAGATTTGTAAATTGTGCCTTTTATTTGAGTTTTTTTCATCAAAGTGAATTTTAAAGTCTGTTATAGATGACCCCCATATTTCTAATAGTTTAGAGATTAGAGCCTTCTAAAGTCACAACCTTGCAACAAACGCTGTTAACGAAAAACCGTACAAACGTACAGGTAATAAAATATGAGGACGTTCGACTTTTGTAATCCCCAAATATGTTTATTTAATCTAGAACCTCGACAAGCAGTAGTTGTGTGTAATACAGGCAGTATTTGTGACAAACACAAAACTCATATGAAATCATTTTACCTGAGTTGTTTACGAGTAGTGTGATGTTAACCCGTAGAGCGTTCACTTTTATATCACTGTTATAGAATATTTGTATGTGGTTAAAATATCATCTTCAACTTTTCTTAGTCAAGAAATGTTATTTGTTATAAATACATATATATATATATATATATATATATATATATATATATATATATATATATATATATATATATATATATATATTGAGAAACAAGGATTAAAGATGTGAAGACTACACATGAAATGAATAGTACCTGACAGTAACAGATCTGATCAAAGCTATTTCTTCCTGCGTTATATCAGATGGTCTAGGCATCGAGAGAGACAGTGTGCTCTTGAAATCATTGCAGCTCAGCCTATTCATCACAGTGCAAAATAAAGTTTTTATATATATATATATATATATATATATATATATATATATATATATATATATATATATATATATATATATATATATATATATATATATATATATATATGTATACATTATTGTCAGAAGACAATAAGAATGGATTTGACCGTCAGAACACCAGAAATAATACAGGTGATCTGCCGGTATATAGGTGCGATGGGCCATCAAATAAGGTGCTCTTATTAGCCTATTACTGCTTTGACTTAATAACAGTTTTTGTTGGTAAACTAACACCAGCCCTTTGAGTGCGTATGTTTTAATGTTACCATTTCCCTTCCTTCATGTCCAGTGAAGTCAAATTCACGTGTAAAAGATTGAGCACTGCGTATGTAATTTAGACGGGGCGTTGTTTTTTTTTCCAAGGCCACTTAGGCATGGCCAACAATGTAGAAATAAAAGGTTGTGTGGAATTGTCATAGGGTTTTTTAAAGTGCATCGCCGCTACTTTTGATGGTTGTCGGTTGTTGTTGTTGTTGCTTGTGTGTCTGTGTGTGTGTATGAAGGTGGCCTAAACTTTTGCCTTTTGAAAATTATCAGATTTATATAAATGGCAAACATTAGTGGTTAACTACAATTGTAGCCGATTTCAAACGTTATTTTTACCACACAAAAAATGCACAAATATGAGGTTATTACGTTCTATGCCCCGCCCACCATAATAAGCATTTAAACAATGTGTTGCATAATATGTCATCGTTCCCTACATGTGCTCGGCGATTAAAAATAATAAACCACCTTTTGTCCAGAGGACGGCCACAGTAAAAAGGATGTCTGTTGGTGGATGTGAGGTTACAGAGACACGGTCTACCTGGTACGTCTGGCTGGCCCCAGCATACAGTCACCTGTTACGTCATACAGGTGTACAAATATAAGTAGCTAGGAAAGGATTTTCTTTACGTAAAACAATTAGCTGGCAAAATTTACACACATTGATTTCGTGCAAGTAGATTTAGTTCTATAGGTTTTGGTCGTTAGAATGACAAAAAAAGATAAAAACTGTAACAACTTATGATCTTAAACGATGGATATACACCCCAATTTACATTGTAATCACGAATGCTCTTTTAGTAAATTGGTTGTAAGTAACTTCTATATTCACAGTCGATAGAATCGTACGATCATTATGAGGAAACGCTTTCTATATTATTTCGCAAATATATATATATATATATATATATATATATATATATATATATATATATATATATATATATATATATATATATATATACATATATATATATATATATAAAATACTTAGTTAACATATCCTGCAAATAAGTGTATGATACATTATGTTACTACTCTATACTCACCTCCTCTACTCCATTGTTAATAAATTTCCCTGCCAGGAAGCGTGAGTTACCCGCACGTGTCTGCAGCATTGTGACCCTCAGGTATTCCCGTGGGTAGGCAACAGCCACGTACACCTGTCAACAGACATAAGAAGACTAGATCAAACATCGGGATTATTTATAAGGGAAGTAACTCTCATTCCCGTTCACAGACTAATCGTTTATACTTTCTATCCTTTATTGACCAATAGTATTAAAAAATGGTACGAGCATGTCACAATGTCGTCACGTCTAGCTAAAACTTTATTTCAAAGAACAATGTATGTCTAACAAAACAAATGCAGGCTAGGAATAAAAGGGGAAGACAGTATCAGGCAAGGGAGGGGGTTTCTACTTGAAGAGGCAGTGACGTTTGTTGGAGAATGGGTGGAATGGAGGAATACGATCAGTAGGATACTAGTCGCGTCCCAAAGGCTCATCATGTCTACGAGACAGAAGACAAAGACTACAGCAGTTTGACTTACGAAAACTAAATGTTAGATAACAAAGATTGCTATAAAAATATAATGTTCATCAAACCAAGTTTTATATTACTGTTTAATCTCATTCGTTTCTTGTGTATCGTATAACTGTGTGCACTTTTAAACATTTTTTATCTGGCTTTGTGCATTCACACATAGTTATAGTCTAAATTGGATCTCAATAAAACCAAAATTTCTATCCATAATTATAGTCCATACCTTTACTAAACCTGGCCACAAACATCGAACAGAAATCTGGTAACTTCCGTTTCTCATGTCAGTCACCTGACCAGCTGCCCGATAGTTCTTTGTTTGTGTATCCACAATCCACACCCTGATCTCATCGACACCTGTTTTCTTTGAATTTCCGTATCCATCTATTAAATCCACACGACCCGTGATGACGTCGTTAATATTACAATGACTCACATTGTCCTTGTCAACTTGCAGAAAAACTTTCGACAACGTCATATCAGGTAATTCCCGTTTATCTTTCAAGGGCAGGTAACTCAAATATTCTTTCTCAAAATCATAAATGTACTGTTTGTCTTCAAGTAAAGGCACAAAGGTAATGTTGGACTTTTCTATCAGATTTGTCCAGTCATCAAAAGTAACAGCCTTACAAAAACTGTCTGTCTGGTTACACTGGTTGGGGCATGTATCCAGGGTCCGTGTATGGAACTTGTCCAATATTTCATATAACGTTGTTCTCATCCAGCCTTGACTAGCGCTATTCAAACTTGTACTTTCGGGTTCATTCAAGTTGAACACGCTTATATTGATGTCGATGTTTTGTAGTGCATGTTCCGGGTAAAATATAAGATACCATTGACTGAGAAAGTAAAAGAGAAGTAATCTAACATATGGCATGACAAAAATCATTTTAAAATAGTGACAATTTATTTTTTAATTCGATAAAAATTATTGGAAATTTATAGTCATAAGGAATTTTACCTGCTATTCATAAACCCATTTATCCCATACCCCCCCCCCCCCCCAAATCACCCCACAATCTAGATAGCATTACTATTTTGAATTTGCATTAAACAAACGTGTGGTGAAACAATCAGAATCAATTAAGATGTAACGTTTGTTTGATCAAACACGAATCGTGTCACAAATGTAAGAAATCGTTTCCATTGTTTGTCTGTAGTGCCCAATCAGACTACCTGGCTGTAAAAAGTATGTTGTAGCTCCTTGTTTTGGATTTTAAATTTAAAAACCAACTGAAAACATCAACAAAAAATATTCTGCTTGTTAAGTTATGAATACAAAAGGCGTTGCCGCGTCAGGATTTCCAAACAAAATGATAAAATGAAAGAAAATTAGTTAATTATTCCTCAAATATTGCCAGTAATGTACTTGGTAGGAGTAAGAATATTTCAGACAATAGATATAGATATAAATCAAATGTTAAAAATTCGCAGTTTCGATATGCGTTTGATACCATGTTATTTTTAACCTAATCCTGTCAATATTATAAAAACATCATTAATTGATCAATGTTGTTTTTTTCAATTATTAAATAGTAAATTAGCAATACAAATATTTTCATTATATTATAACAATTAACATTTTCATTTAAACTATATATATATAAGTAGAAGTGTGTTAGTGTAAGGCATGTCATGTCATGTTTGCCTGTCGTCCCTACTGGGACATAGGCCGCTGACAAGAGCTTTCCAGACGTCTCTGTCCAGGGCTAGTCTCTCCAACTGTCCCCAGGTGTATCCAATCTTCTTGGTGTCTTCTTCCAGGTCACGTACATATTGGCTTTCACCACCCGGCTTCATGAATTCTCCATCGGGAGATCCATTTTTCCCCTGGTCCGAGCTGTCTTTGTTTCTCTCTGTCTGCGTTTCTGTAGCGATAGTTGTTTTACGAGATAAGGTTGCTGACCTTATGCTCAACCCCCAACCTGGAGGACCAGGGTGCTAGCTTTCGTCTGATCCCTACCCGCGCAGACCTTACCAGCTTGGTTGAACCTGCCAGGAGTTAACACTCCCGCTGGTATAGCTCTGGGGGTCGTCAGGGTACGCAAGCTGCCAAGCCACGACAAGGCCCTAGCACCAGATGACTGTAAGGCAGGGGTCTCCAAACTTGTCAGCCCGAGGGCTGCATTAACTATCACTTATAAGTTGCCAGAGTTTCTTCAGGCATCTCTGCTTCAACATCTCTTCGAGGTGGCGGAGGCGCCCCCCCCCCCCCCCCCGAAGAACGTCTCTTAAAAGTACTTTGATGCAAAAGTTTTAATATTAGGAAAGTCTTCCTTGAGCAAATACTTATAAAACCCACCCGCCCTTATTTGAACTTGTTTTTAATGAGGTCATTTGTTGGGCAACTGGCCACACATTTATGTAATTACACCCAATGTTACATTTTCGATTTGTTTTGAATGTTTCCTCAGCAACCTCCATGAACATTTTTTTCAGTGGACAAAACAATCTTCGCGGGTCGGTTGAGAGGTCCTCGCGGGCCGTAGTTTGGAGACCCCTGGTGTAAGGCATGGAAATGAATTTCAACTTGGTGTATAGTCTCTTAAATCAAAGAACAGGATCTTTTGGCTAGATTGCAAAATTTCAGGGACGAGTTATATTGGTCACTGTATTGTGGGATGGTATATTGTTCCATGATTTCGTTAAAAAATTAAAATTATAAATCAAAACAAAAATCCTGGTCAATATGAGTAGATTGAGTTCATTTGAATCTAAAAAAAATCGTACAATGACACGGTACGTTTTTTTTTCTGGCAGGATCAAACATGAGAACAAATTAATTTTTTTTTAAGATAGTGATCTCTGTGAAAGTGTAGGCAGACAAAAACTGTCAAAGCGGAATGATTTACCTTAGCTAATGTGTGTGTGTGTGGGGGGGGGGGGGGGTCCAATAGAAACAACTATGTTTCGCGGCCTTATTTTTTAAATTTATAATTAAAGAAACCATGTAATACTTCTAACACTTAGACAGTTTTTTCAGTAAAATCCTTTACACTATACTAAAAAGTAACTGTATGGTCTTAACATGGAGATGTATTACTTAAGCCTGTATGAAACATCGAATATTAAAAGCTTTTTGTACGGCGGTATTCGCGCGTATGTGTGTGTATGTATAGTTGTATGTATGTGTTAGTGTTACATCTAAATACATTCACACACAATCTAGTTAAGTCTTGACTTACCTTTGCAACGCAGCCACAGCCACGAAAACTAGAGCACACAGCGACACGCCAAAGAACACCCTCTTGCGTCGAATTATTCCGTCGTTTTTTGTTACTTGTTTTCGGACAAAAAAAAAGTTCATGTTTAATTGAACAGAATTAAATTTATCGAAAACTTCACACATTACAAAATGTATATTTAAAACAAGTAATAAAGTTACCCTTATAAAGTAGAGTTCAACTTTTTCAGAATTATTTCTTCAGCATATGAGTGTGACAAGACCCCTTTACCTTCACAAACTAAAGTCAGAGCAGGGTAAACTCAATCAGTGTTTCTTCCAGACTTTTTTCTCCCGGGGGGGGGAGGGCACTTGAAATTTTCGGGGGGATGGGGCGGTAGACTTTCTTCGGGGGGGGGGGGGGGCGGACACTGATAAAAGTATATATTTTCTATATAAATTATATAAATTTAATTTCGTTCGGGGGGGGGGGGGGAGGGCGGTAGAATTTTTTCGGGGGGGGGGGGGGGCTTCGCCCCCCTGGAAGAAAATCTGAACTCAATGATGGCTCCATCTAAGGATTCGAACTCGAGACTGTCGGGTTTATCATTGTGCACACTATCATCCGCTTATATCTTCCCGTGTATTTCTAAAATAACAGCTGTAATATTTTAAACACACGAGTGATTTATATTAAAATCATTACATACCCGAGGCTAAGTCTAGTCCGCTACAGAAGTTGCTGCAATAGATAAAGGGGGAAAATATATACTACAAATAACATTGAACGTTGTAGGTTAATTGTTTTATCAATGTTTTGACTTTTGTCAAAAATATAGACAGAACAGTTGATAACTAAACTCTGAAAATATTGCAATGTTTTATTAATTTGTTTGAAAACCAAGTTAGGGATAATTAAAATAACGAAGAGTATAAGCTAACTTTAGTTTAAGTGTTTGTGGTCAAGACTTTTAGTTTATTATTCACGTAACGTGTAGATCTGAAGGAGTGCCACTATTCTTTTACACACAACAAAATTGACTATTTGAAGTTTAATACATAATAGGGCATGTAAGTAGGTCACAACTTCTCGTTGTCGTACTTGCCAGCTAGTAGATTTCGAGACCGTAGACTTACAAGCCCTATAATTAAAGCACCCGACTTCTATTTTTCTATTTTTTTTTAAAGTTACAAGTTTGGATCCCCAACATTTGTACATAGGACGTCTCTGAGTCCCAACGCTGATGGGAGCCTTTTTTCACGTTAGAAAAAAATACTAAGGCGGTTGGGTATAGTTCTAATGACACTATCGCTTTATGCGCCGAGGTCTTCGAAACAGATTAACTCTAATTCATATGCACCATGTGTCATGGGCACTGAAGAAAAAGATAACGATTTAACCATGTATTGTGTGGAAATGTTTGCCCGATCTAAAAAAAATAAAAAAATTTATCGTCAATGTTTAGGAAACACGTGATCTATAAATAGTGCGATAAAACTGCTTTTCAAAAACCAGAATTTAACAACCTACTAAATTCTGCCGAAAAGTGACATGGATGAACAAATTTAAAAGAAAAGAACAGTACAGTGGTGGGGCGGGGTAGGGATTATAGGAAAAAAAGTCACAGGAAAAAAAGCACAGGAAAATAACAGAAAAAAAGTCACAGGAAATAAAGTCACAGGAAAAAAAGTCACAGGAAAAAAATTCACAAATATATATTTGTGTTAATACTTTTATGAATTATATATTCAGAGAGTGCAAAATTAACTTAGGATTAATTAAATGTAATGTTATGTGTGTAGGTTGTATACGCATGGTAATGTTTATAATTCATCTAAACATATTTAGTTTTAAGTATGTAGATTGTAATTATGTAAAACATACTATTAATAGCATTTAATAGAATGTTCCAACGTCCTCGGTTTTCTTTGTTTGTTTTTTTTAAATACTAACATTAAATTACCATGAAATGGTAAGTTCATCTGACTTGCTGCCCTCAACTCATCAAAACAATAGTTATGCTTAGTTCAACCACCTTTACTGCCCACATTTATCACGCTCATTACATAACAAAGCAAAGGATCAAAACAGAGAGCCGACAAGGTTCAAAGGCTGTCATTGACACAAAAGATCCACAACACACAATATGTTCGGACAAGGCCGACTGAGGAGAGACCGAT